TCATTTTCCCAATCACTAGAAGTTACGAAAAAGCGAGATAGCGCACTAATACCGATGCTAGAATTGTCTGACACCAACAAAGGGAAAAGGCTTGGATTGGAGGAAACTAACAATCAGATCCTGCAAACAAGATATCCACCAACAGCAGTTCCCATTAATCCCAGTAGAACCACCTTGCCATCACCACCCATTCAACCCCCAGCACGTCGATTACGCAACAGTCAACGGAGAAGAGCGCAATCACGACGAGGCACTGTCCCTACATCCTTGAAGACCAATTTCCAAGCCCAGAAGGATATCCGAATTAACGGAGAAGTAGAAGGATTATTTGGAGGGGAGAGGAGGAGTTGGGGGGGGGGGGGGGGTGTCCTGCTGAGATTCCTAATAGCCTTTGATTCCCCGAGCGGAATCGAGGGAGGGCAGCCAAGTAATATGTTGACTACCCGTGTGCGACACAGCTATCGGTTGAATCAGCCTCTATTGTGGCCTGAAACCCAAAGGATAGAGCCGGAATTAAGGTGGGATCTAGAGAAGCATACTATATGGCGTGTGTCGAGCTGCGGGTATGTGTGCTGTATTTGGATATCCATGGATGTCGTATGTCGTGCACTTGGTGGGGTGGTGCAGAGATGTCTATGGATGCTTCTATGCAGTTGCGCAGTCAGATAAGACAAGTTGGCTATTCTGCAAGAAGGGTCCTCACAACAACTATTCCGTTTGAATCTGGGTAATCTATTAGATGCCAGGTTTAATGAAGCCAAGATGTCTAGAAAGATTCGTTCTTCCCCCCCGCCCCGGGGATTCTTTATTTTCCCTGCGAATGGATAACTCATTACTGCGTACTATCCCTAGATAACAGATAGATATTTGAGCCAAGAGGACAGATAATTAACCGCAACTCCCCGTGTCTGTAAGTTCTTCACAATTTAGCATGCATCTTGGAATATTACTATCAGGCCTGTTCATCGAGTCTGCAAATCTTTTTAAACCCGAATCCTGATCAAGCTTTTTTTGATCGGAACCTGGTTGGTTGAGATCCTTTGGCCATAGGTAGTCCGGGCGACTTTAATCCCAGCTATTTTCACTCCTAAGCACAAATATATTCGTAGTGTTGGAAGGCTGTTGAAGTTTCAGTTTTGGAGGAGGTGAGAGATAAAACCAGATATAGCGGTTACATTTCTCACAGATGGATAGAGGAAGAGTTAGTGGTGGTGGTGGTCGTCATCAAGTCTGTGATATAAAGCGAGGGAAAGAAAAACCAGGCCTGGAAATAACGGATTTGAGTCACAGGGAGAGTAAGATCATGGGGACATGTCCGTGGTGCCATTACGTATGTCATAGACGTGCTTGGGGGGGGTGGGGTTGGAAATACATCACAGTGGACGCAGGATGGGGGTCCAGAACCCCGCAGGCGCAGACGAGCTAGCCCTTGATGCAATGCCCCTTGCCCAGCTAGCACTCCCTATAACTCCCGCTCTGTAGTAGACTACCCTCTGCCCTGGAGCGCCCCCCGGGCCTGGCACCCAGCCCTTATTGGACGCTTAGGTTGACTTTTCTGCCGCCGCGCTGCCGAGCCAAGCCTGAAAAGTTTAACATCCCACTAAATTCGCCCCACCGCCAAACCTCACTCCAAGCTTCCGACTTCAATTCCAACCTCACCTCACCCTAGATGAATATCACCCTTCATCCCCCCCTCTGGCCATCCACGCTCCTGTTAGCCCACGCTGTGGATATATGTTACAGACTCTAACCGTTTTGTTTCTCACTCCGCTGATATTGTTTCCAACTGTCTAATCGGGTCTATTCTTCTGAGTCTTGTTTTCTCTACGAAGTTTGCAGGCAAGACTTGTCTTCAAACTAGACAGTCAGCCAGCGAGCCGCTCTCTCCTCTCCACGCCGTTCAATCCAGCGACCCTGGAGTTATTCAACTACCATTCTGAGACTACAGTCAAGTTGGCGGGGCTCAACTATACCCAGTTCTTCTTCATCCACCCTCTCCTGGGGCCAAAATTTCGGGTCTTCTCTGGGGGCGACACTCGACCTCCATAACTGGACTTTCCCCATCTCAAGATTATTTATATATATATATATCAAGGCTACTCAAGCCTACCACGGACGAAAGAATCCCTTCTGCCCATGGGCTGGGCTGGAGGAAAGCAGAGGCTGCTTAACCGTTGTGTGTTTGCGTCTCCCCCGCAAGATTTAAAGAGTTGTGGCCTAGTCAAAGGGCCGTGAGTTGCTCTCGGCCGTCTCATTTTCGACAAAACGTCCGCATATAGCGTGCGTCCTTTCGTAAAAACAAAAATCGACAACCCTGGCTTATCCAATTGATATCAACAAGGGTACCACTCATTCGCCATGAGTGAGTCGCCAAGATCCGAGAAGTACCAGACTAGGTACAGCACGCCTGCGCCAGAACTGGATGACCACCGCTTCCAGGCCGAGTCTCTCCCCAGAGCGGAGGCAACGGCAGAGAGTGTGCTTAGTTGGCAGGAACAGTTGCAGCAGGCGCGCCATGCGATAGAAGGAAACCTGAATCTGCGCCGTTTCAACGAATCCCTGCAACATGATGCGGGTCCTATCACCAGAGATTTTGAGAATGCAGTTGTCGATGATGAGCCCGATGGCATTGCGGAAATACGTCCATCTGTGAACTCTATGGCTGTTCGGTCGAGCGCTCAGAGACGCAGCTTCACGGTCCCGGACCGCCTGAGCCGTTCCCGGGCTTCGTCGACCTCGAGTGTGTCAACCTCCCCACCGAACTCTGTCGAGGCGTTTGCCGAGCCCCGCCGCCGTGGACGTGCGAATACCATAGAGAGCCATACCCCTTTGGACGTAGATGTTGTTCTCCAGAAGACAATGTCCACTGGCACCCAACACCGTCGCCCGACGTTTAGCAATGCCAGCGCCATTGGCCAGGAGAGCATGGACCCGAGAGCCAACCTCAATGAGGATGCGGACGTGTGTTTTCCTCCATACGATGAACCGGGAAAGACTTCCATCATCGACTTTGAGGAATTGGAGGAATTCGTTGCCCTTAGCAAACGGACGAGCCCAGTCCACCAACAGATGTGCCGCGTCGACCACCATCACCGTAAGCAGAGCTCGAGCTCGCAGAGCAAGCCCCGCATCTTTCACGATCTGCGACCTAAGTCTCAGTCTACGGATGTCCCCAAGATTTTTATGCGCCCATCGACTACTGAAAACAGCTCATCTGACTTCGTCGACCACATTACCCACGATCTTGAGAAGGGAGTGGGCAACACTGCCGATGAGAAGGAGGTCAAGAATCTCTACAACGAGAATGAGCGCAATCGCTTTAGCTTCTTCTCATCGGAGTATCAGAACACTGTCCATGCTTGCGAACTGGGCGCTCTGGTGCTTGAAGGAGAGACTTTCCGTGACCTGTTCCATCTGGGTCCGGAGGGAGGAGTATGGTGGCTTGATATCCTCAACCCAACTAATGAAGAAGTAGGAGCTATCTCCCGAGCGTTCTCCATCCATCCTTTGACAGCGGAGGATATTATGACTCAGGAAGCTCGAGAGAAAGTGGAGTTGTTCAAGCAGTATTACTTTGTTTGTTTCAGGACTTTCTTCCAGGATAAACACCATGAGGATTTCCTGGAGCCTGTGAACCTTTATATGGTTGTTTTCCGCGAGGGAGTGATCTCCTTCTCATACACTGAGAACCCCCATGCAGCCAATGTACGGAAGAGAATTGGGAAACTGCGCGATTACGTTTCCCTTAGCAGTGACTGGGTTTGCTATGCAATGATGTAAGTTTCGGACATTATACTCCATAACCTTCATCTTAAGAGTAACAACTAACAAATCCCCAAACCACAGTGACGATATCGTCGACAGTTTCGGCCCCGTCATTCGCGACGTCGAAATCGAATCCGAAGCAATAGAAGACCAAGTCTATATCGCACGCGTCGGGGACTTCAACGCCTTCCTCCCGCGAATCGGCGGCTTACGCAAAAAGGTGATGAGTCTCATGCGCCTGCTAGGTGGGAAAGCGGATGTCATCAAAGGCTTCTCCAAGCGCTGCAACGAGCAGTATTCTGTCACTCCACGTGGTGATATCGGCCTCTACCTTGGCGATATCCAGGACCACGTCGTCACTATGATGTCCAACCTTGGCCATTTTGAGAAAATGCTTAGCCGCTCGCATACCAATTACCTGGCCCAGCTTAATGTTACGAATCTTATGCTGGGGAACCATGTCAATAAGGTCTTGAGCAAGATTACATTCCTGGCGACGATTTTAGTGCCGTTGAACTTGATCTGTGGCCTTTTTGGCATGAACGTTCCTGTCCCAGGGGGCCAGAGCCATGGTTTTGGTTGGTTCTTTGGTATTTTGGGAGCTATCATGTTGATTATTGTTATTAGCTTGGTGATGGCTCGTCGGTTTAAGCTTGTGTGAAAAAGTTTTGTTTCTCGAGGGATAATGGCACTAAAAGACGTAATGGCTTCTGAGCTTTGCTTTTTTTCTCGACAATTCTTATATCTTTTCTTCCTTTGTCTGGTCATATCTTTGTATCGGCGGACTTATAATTTTGCGACTACCTTTGATTTTTTCCATTGATTTTGTTCATCTTTATATATATTTTGTCTTTATGCAATCCTTACATGGTTACAAGACCATGGCTTGGGAAAAGAAAATTGTTTGTTTTGCCGTTCATTGTTGATAGAGCTTAAATTCTCATCCATCTCTGTATACCTCTTGCGATGTGACTTTTAAATCCCATTATAACTAGAAGCAGCCTACGTCCAACGTCTAATGCACAAATCTTAACAATAAAGCCTCTTAATATTATATCTACTATTTTAGAATAGTTGTATATACATATTAAAAGCTGAATAAAACCTATCTACCCATGGTGGATATCTCTTAAATCAAACCCTTAGTCCCTGCGCCGAGCCCAATGATCCGTATGCACTTCATGAAAACTACTCCTAAGATTAAATCCTTTTTCCTTTCAGTGGTCAATAAAACTTTAACCAAGCTTTGGCCTTTTTATATTAAACCCACTAAACCCTTTCCCTTTGTCCTTTTCCCTCTCCTCCCTAGCCCTCTTCCGCTCCATATCCTCTTTCATGATACGTTCCGTGGCTGTGAGGGGTTTGGGCGGAGCTTCTACTTTCTTCCTTGTAGCGCCAGCCAGTGCATTTTTCTTTGAAACGGCGGCGAAGACGTTTTTAGGCTTTGAGATAGTGACGGCAGGTTTTAATGATGTTGATGTTGTTGCTGACAGTCCCGGCGTCATGGCAGTTGATTCTGAGGATGTGGGTGAAATTTGAGCTGCAGGTTGTGCTGGGTCTCGGTGCGCAAGGGTGGGCGATTCTGATTTCTTATCATTGCTCGCTGGAACTGGACAGGTTGAAACAACAGCAGAAGTAGCATTTCCCTTCGACAGCGCAAAATTCAACTTAATTTTCTCTCCTTCAGTCCGCTGCAACTCCTTTGGGGCTGCCTCCGCATCACCCCCATCGGAACCCTTCCCCGCGGCCTCCCTATCCCTTTTCGCCCTACGCACCTGCTCCTCTATCATCTTCTGCTCCAGCTCCTCATCCCCGCGATCCTGCATTTCCTTTCTTCGCAGTGCTTCCTGTCTTCTTAGGGCTTCCGGACTATTATCAATCCACGAGATGAAAATGCCCTTCTCACTCTCCTCAACCCTACAAATACCCTCGCGGCCTAAATATTTCGCAAATTCCGTCAGACTGGGCCAGCGTGTGGCGTTCATGTGTATATGTTCCTTGTTGGCGATATACTCTTGATAATAGTGGTTGATGTTGACTGCCTTTTCGCCGTGAGAGGTGCGGAGCTGTTTGAGGAAGTCGGAGAGGAACTCGTTGGAGTATTGCTGGATGTATTTGCGGGGGTCTTCGCCTACCAGCAACATCTGGCGCACATGCGATTCTGACTGGGTATGGCATTTGAAACCATTTTCATCACGCATCTGCCTTTGACATACTTGACAGTACCAGCGGAGACGCTGGAGGCCCTTCGATTTGAGCTTGTTGCTGAGGTATTTTGTGCTGCCTACTTCGGCACGAGGCATATCGGGCTTGTTAGTTGGTTCCCTAAGAATGAGTTTCTGGTTCTCTTCTTTTCTTCTTCTTCTTCTGCTTCTTCTACTATATGTAATTCGTTCTCTTTTATGCCACAGTTGAAGATGCATCTTGCTTTGAGGCGCGATGAAGCGTGGCGGTGGCTTAGTCATCCATATAGCTAACTTAACCGTTGTCCGGATTAATATTTATCCGATCCATATCCAACCTTGAGATGTTGACTCAGTGCCAAAGCACACCTATCGTTGATGAAACATCGTCTTCTACATCTCGGTCGCTAACTTCATGTTAATTGGGGCTGGGTGCTCTTTGTATCCTGTGTCCTCAATCGTTGTTTCATGAATCAATGGAACCCCGTCAAGACTGCCAAACCTGCAGGTTTCTAGCAGTTCAATCATTCGTTATGTAAACGCTTACCCTGGTTTCAGCTGTAAATTTGTCTCATATCAACGACGCATACGAACGCAAACCAGCTGGCACCTCAGTGTGCCCTCCCCATTTTGCACATCAAAGGCCTTAGGCCCTCTCATAACTACCGTTGAGCCGGAATCTGAGATACCGTTTGTGATGCCGTGCCCGAAATTATCCCCCTTGCAATCGCGATTCGTGGCCTCTCTAGCAGCCACTCTCTTCATCCTTATTCTCTACTTTATCCTTTCAAACCCAAGCTTCGCATATGCCATCGGAGTTGACTCAATAACACATGAAGACCATAACCATCCAATATCATTAGAGCTCAAGCTTTCCATCGACTTTGATACACCGTCTCCTGGGAACTCTCAAATTCCGGCTTCTAAACTGAATTTAGGCGGGGTGTCCGCTATCATTATGCGGAGAGCGCCAGATGGACTTGTTGCGTTAGCGAACAATGCCCCTGAAGAGAGAGAATTGGAACCGGGGGAGACACTTTATTTTAGGTTTCCCAAAGCAGCTTTGGCTGGCCCAAAGTCTGGTCCTCCTGCCGGACTTCCTGGGGGCAATGGGGTTGAGTTTTTGGATGGTTTGTCAGTGGATAATGATGAATTGGAGTTGCGGGATAATGACCTGGCTAAGCGGGCGACCAAAGTCTATATATCTGCAAACACCTGCTCGCAGCCTGTGTTTAATAATGCGACACGACGTGATCCGGATCCTGGACCGCCGCAATTACAGCTTTATGTCTCCACAACCGAAGAAATTCAACAGCCAGGCCCTGATGTTAATTCTCCGGATTTAAACGTTTTCACTTTTGATGATGGTTATGTGAACGCTACATTCGATGTTGAAGACGATATTTACATGGGGGTATCCGCGCCGAAGAACGAGAGCTACTCTGGCAAGTACAAATTCGAGATTGCAGCGTCAATTGATCAGTCGTTCCATGAAGCTGAACCTAATGTCCCATATCTATTCTTCGTCGATGGTGACAGCGGCGCTGCTTTGCTGCAGACAAGCGACATTACCCAAGCAAATCCTGATGATGAAATTTACAAGAAGTGGATGAGCCTAGATCCTCCACCATTTATAATGTTTGCCCACAATATGAATGATACGTCGATTCTTGGCTTGCAGAAATCCTTCTGCGGTTTAAAAAATAATGCCCAAATTCGCAAGGATGGTGATAATGTTCAGGTCAGCATGACTAACAGAGGTATAAATCGCAAACCGAAAGAACAATTCTATATCCGGGGTCTAAATAGCAGTTCATTCTATTATGGATTTTTGGCCATGGAAGGCAACTCCACCCACTCCGGCAGCGGAGTTGTGGGAGGAGGTGGAAAGGTCTGGAGGCCGGTGAACTTCAACACCAAATCAGGTACACATCATTTACCCCTAAGAGTTAATCCGATATACATGCATATCCCAGCCTATCACATACTAATCACCCACCAATAGAGAACAACTGCGCCATCCTATACAACCTCGACTTCTGCTCCGATGTCGCCTACGCCGTCCCTTCAAATCCCTCCTTAACCAGTGACGATCTCGCAAAATTCTACGACACCCACGCTGTCAACCTGTACAAAAACTTCACACGCTCACTCGCCCAAATCCCCTGTAACACCTCCGCCAAATCCCAATACTCGCTCGCTCGCAACTGTACCCACTGCGCCGCGGCCTACAAACAATGGCTGTGCGCCGTAACCATCCCCCGCTGCGCTGACTATTCCAGCAACCTCCCCTTCCTGCTCCCGCGCAACACTGCGCAGAAATTCACAAACGGCACTAGCATCGAGCTGGACAACCCGTTGCGCCAGACCGTGCTATCAAACTCATCCCGCAACCCATTGATCGACGAGCAGATCAAGCCCGGACCGTATAAGGAGGTTCTCCCCTGCCAGGACCTCTGCTATGAGCTTGTGCAGAGCTGTCCGGCCGCACTGGGCTTTTCGTGTCCCGTTGACACGTGGTTGAATGGCTCGTACGGAACAAGGAGCGTTGATGGCGATATTACCTGTAGTTACCTTGGTGCGGCGTATTTTTTGAATGGTGCTGGGTTTCTAAGGGAGGGCTTCATGTTCATTTTTTGGGGAGTTTTGGGATTTTGGGTAGTGTTTTGGATGTTATAGATGTGATACTGCCTTTTTCTTTCGTTCTTTATTTTTATTTTTTGTTTTTTGTTTTTTTTACGGTCGATTGGCGGCGTAGGCAAATTTTTATTTTCCACAGAAAGAGAAGACTAGAAACAAGAAAAAGGGAATTGGTTGGTTGAAGATATATACAGTTAAGATCATCGCGTCTTGGCAACGATTCATCCATCATTTGCTTGGTTGAAAATACAGTCGATGGCATTATCTTGAAGCAGAGTGGAAGTTCCATATATGCTTATGTTGCAGTTATCTATGAGACTCATTTGCTCTGATTGTCCTCAACTTCCCTTCTCTTTCTAATCCTATGCCTGACTCGGAGATTTCTTTTTAGGAGCATCTTCAAGAAACTAAATTCAGTTATATATATTGTCAGGCCTATCCGCCTTCTTATGTAATCCACACTGTATATAACTTCCGCGTAGCTAGCAATCACTACATAATCAATCAAGCAATCTATCCTTCACAGGTTATGAGACCTGTTTTGCGCAAATAACTGCCAATTCAGAGAATTCTTGTCAAATATAGTGTATATTAATCACTGCTCACTTCATTCAATATAATATTGTCTTATTTTATGTCAATTGATTGATTTGATGCACTCTTATATTATTATTATTTTTTTTCTGTGTTCAATTCATTCACTTAGTGAGTGAAAGAAAAATCTGCAACTTATTAATTTTTCAGTGACTGATCACACAAGAACACATCAATCTGCTCAATCAAGTTTATAGACAAGAATCTCACTGAATAAGATTACTCCATTATAAAGAAGATTAATATGACATGATGAAATATATGATGACTCACTTGTGATCATGATTAAGTCAATTCAGTTAATCTGACTGATCTGAAAATGATCAGGGGGCTCTGAGCTCACTGACCCTCTTAGAAATGTTTAAGAGTTTCAAGATTGAATCTTCTGAAATGTCTGATCAGCAAGCTGAGCTAATTATAGCTTCTACCACAGTGAGACTGATCTATCTATGTTGTGTTGAATATATTGATTCAACTCCTTCAGAAGATGAGGTGAAGATGTCTGTGACAATCTCTAATCTGCTGCTGACAATCAACTCTGAAGAATTGCAACTGAGGAGATTGAATTTTAAATGTCAAAAGATTGATTTAGAATTTCAAAAAGAGAGATGTAAAGAATTGTAACTTCAACTTCAATTGAAAAGACTCTGTTCTCAGAATGACAGAGTCATGATGTCTACAAATTCATCAGCAGGTTAACAATCAGCATAAAATCTGAACTTGAGATTCTGAATGCAATATAATCTCTATGATCTGGATAGCCACATCAGCAAGATGATCAGTCAGTTCAAACAAAATATTAAGTATGTCATTAAGCTGAATACTCTGGTTGAATTTTCAAATTACCTCTCCTGATATATGAATATGAAGGCCAAGCTAATTGACACTCAATGCTGAGTTATATTAGAGGACAAGCAAGTCAAAAGCCTTGATGAGAACTCTGAATGAGCTTTTTTTTAAAAAATCAAAAATCACTGACTTTACACATTCATTTTGAATACATTGACAGTCAACATTAGGCTCTATTTTAATAAATATGATGAGAGCAGAATTACTTATTCTTTTTGATGTGCAGTTGAGAAAAAGTTCTTTATTCTGAGAATGTAGCTCTGCAGAGAAGCAGTTCTGATGTTGATATCAATGAGTGATGTTCAAGTCACTGACATATACACATTTTTGGATAAGTTCAATGATGTTATTATGAAATTGAAAATACTTAATATTTTACTATCAAATAATGTGGTATTCCATATGTTCTATTTTGCACTTCTCAATATATGATGAAACTATATGCAAAAGAAAATTAAGAAGGTACAAGAGTTCAAATCAAAGTCTGTCATGTTGAATGTTCATTCAATCATGAAAGAAATTCACTCTTGATTGAACTCTCTCAAAGAGATCAAAAAGGTTATTCAGACAGCTAATTCTTTGATCAACATGACTCAGACTAAAAACACAGCTGCAGATTTCAATAATAGCAGCTACATTCAAAATAATTTGATCTGTGAAAGCTGACTCAGAGAATATGAAGACTATTGAATGAGTGAATATTCAAATTCTGACCTTTCAATCTGTCTGAAATATAAGCATTGTCATGATGAGCTCTGCTGAGCAGTCAATTCAGATAGCATCTCTGAAGAATGAAGAATTACCAATGCAGCAAGAATAAAGAAATATAATAATAAGAAGAATAGTGAGAGCAAAAAGACCTCATCAACTGCAAATAACAGCTCTGAGATGTTTCAAATGATGAATCTAGTGCAGGTCATTGAGATGTCTGTGTACTCTGCTGAATCAATCATCAACTCACTTATCATATGAAATAGCAGAGCTGGATGTCATATTGCAGGTGATTGATTGTGATTTTTTTGAATAACAGAGATTAG